ACCCTCGAGGCCCAAGTAGGCTGTGGTGTGTACCAGTGGTCAGTCCTTCTTATGACCAAGTGTGACCCCATCGCAAGGATGTCCCACGGTGTGTTCAACTGTTCACTATTGAGAGGTATTTTCATTGTTTCTAGTTTGGGGCTATTACAAATAAAGTTGCTGTGAACATCCATGCATAGGTTTGTGTGCAGATGTAAATTTTATTTATCTAGGATAAATGCCCCATGATTGCTGGGTCACATGGCAAGTGTATGTTTAGGTGTTGCGTGTGTTTTTATATTTATTTATTTGAGTTGGGGTGTCAGTCACCCAGGTTGAAGTGCAGTAGCATGGTGATGACTCACCACAGCCTTGACCTCTTGGGCTCAGGTGATCCTTCTTCCTCAGCCTCCATGTGTCACATGCCTAGGCAATTAATTTTCTTATTATTTATTTATTTATTTATTTATTTGAGTTGGAGTCTCACTCTGTCACTCTGACTGGAGTGCAGTGACTGCTTCCAGCCACTGCAGCCTCTACCTGCTGGGCTCCGGCGATCCTTCCGCCTCAGCCTTCCAAGTAGCTGGAACTACAGGCGTGTGCTATCACACCCAGCTAATTTTTTGATTTATTGTAGAGATGAGGTCTCGCCAATTTGCCCAGGTGAGTCTCAAACCCACAGGCTCAGGCAGTCCACTCACCACAGTCTCCCAAAGCGTGGGATTACAGGCTGAGCCACCAAGCCCAGCTTATTTTATTTTTATGTTTACTTTTGAGTTGGAGTCTTACTCCATTGCCCAGGCTGGAGTGCAGTGGCACACTCACAGCCACCCCAGCATCAGTCTGCTGGGCTCCGGAGATCCTTCCGCTTCAGTCTTTCAAGTTGCCAGGACTATAGGCACGTGCTAACATTCCCCTGCTAATTTTCTAGTTATTGTAGAGACGAGGAATGGCCAAGTTGCCCGGGTTGGTCTCGAACCTTCAGATTCAGGCAATCCACTCACCTTGGCCTCCCAAAATGCTGAGATTACAGGCTGAACCACCTAGCCTGGCCTGCCAATTTATTTTTATTTTTATTTTGTAGAGACAAGTTCTTGCTATGTTGCTCAGGCTGGTCTTCAACTCCTGGGCCCAAGTGATCCTCCTGCCTCAATCTCCCAAAGTGCTGGGACTACAGGTGTGAGCCACTATACCTGGTTTTAAAGTGAATTTCTTATTGGCACTCTAGGGTCTGACTTTTGGACCCATTCTGAGAATCTCTGCTTTTTCACAGATGTGTTTAGTCATTTACATGTGATGTAATTATTTTGGTTATAATTTTGTTAGACTTAAATGTACCATCTTGCTATTTATTCTCCACTTATCCCATGTGGCCTTCATTTCATTTTTCTTCTTCTTTTTTCTCCTTTATTGGCTTAACAGTTATTCCTCTTTTTTATCCTATTTTAGCAGCTGCCTGAGGGCTTATAGTAAACAGCTTTAACTTACCCAGTCTCCTCATTCTTCTGCACAGATACAGACTTTTATCTAGTGTGATCTTCCTTTTGTCTGAGGATTTCTTGAATGCTTCTTGTAGTGCAAGTCTGCTAGTGATGAATTATTTTAGTTTTTGTACATGCAGAAAAGTCTGTATTTTACCTTTGTTTTGAAAAATATCTTTGTTCTGGGTATCCATGGGGGATGGGCTCCAGGACCCTCAAAGACACCAAACTCAGCAAATGCTCAATCCCTGACATAAAATGGTATAGTATTTTCACATAACCTACACACATCCCACCATATACTTTAAATCATCTCTGGATGATTTATACCTAATAACATGTAAATCCTGTGCAAATAGTTATACTGTATCATTTAGGGAAGTGACAAGAAAAAAGTCTGTACATATTCAATGTAGATGTAATTTCCCCCCCCCCCCCAATTTTTTTATCCTTGACTGGCTGAATTCACAGAAATGAAACTTATGAACACAGAGCGCCAACTGAATATGTTGATACTTTTCTTTTTTTCAGCACTTTAAATATGTCATCCTACTGTGTTCTGACTTGCACTGTTCCTGGTAAAATGTCAGCAGTCGTTCTTATCTTTGTTTCTCGGGACACAATGTCTTTTTTGTCTAGCTGCTTTCAAGATTTTTCACTGATTTAAAGCAAACTGATTATGAGTGTTGGTATTGTTTTCTTCACGTTTCTTCTGTTTCAGGTTTGTTAAGTTTCTTGGGTCTGTGGATTTGTACTTGTTATCAAACATTTTCAATCATTACTTCTTAATACATCTCTCCAGTCACCCCACAAGTGGCTCCAAGTCATGCTGCTTGAAGCTGCCCCACTGTTCCTTGATGCTTTGCTCATTTTCTCAGTGTTCCCTGTTGCTGTGTTTTATTTATTTATTTATTTTTGAGTTGGAATCACTCTGTCGCCCAGACTGGAGTGCAGTGGCTGCTCCCGGCCACTGCAGCTTCGACCTGCTGGGCTCCGGCAATCCTTCCACCTCAGCCTTCCAAGTAGCTGGAATTACAGGCACATGCTACCACGCCTGGCTTAGTTTCTGATTTATTGTAGAGATGAGGTCTCACCAAGTTGCCCAGGTGGGTCTCAAACCCACAGGCTCAGGCAATCCACTCACTTCAGCCTCCCAAGGCATGGGATTACAGGCTGAGCCACTGAGTCTGACTGCTGTTTTATTTTAGATGACTTCTCTTGTCATGCTCCTGAGGCTTTTTTTTTTTTGAGTTGGAGTCTCACTCTGTCACCCAGACTGGAGTGCAGTGGCTGCTCCCGGCCACCGCAGCCTCGACCTGCTGGGCTCTGGCGATCCTTCCACCTCAGCCTTCCAAGTAGCTGGAATTACAGGTGCGTACTACCACACCCGGCTGAATCTTGATTTATTGTAGAGATGAGGTCTCACCAAGTTGCCCAGGCGGGTCTTGAACCCACGGGCTCAGGTAATCCACTCACCTTAGTCTCTCAAAGGCGTGGATTACAGGCTGAGCCACCGAGCCCAGCCTTCCTGAGACTTTTAAGTCTGTACTTTCCTCTTTGATTTTGTTTTCTGATATCTGATGTTTTACTTAAAAATTGTGCATAATTTAATGTAAGCATGCATAAGTTCAGCTTTTCATGGCTGACATTACATAGCCCATTGTTGAATCATTGTAATGTGTTGGTCTGGTTATTGGTATTATTGGACACTTCTATGACTTATCAACTTTTTTTTTTTTTAGTCAGACTGTCACTCTGTTGTCCAGGCTGGAGTACATTGACATGATCCTTGCTCACCATAGCCTTGACCTCCTGGGCTCAGGTGATTCTTCCACTTCAGCATCCCAAGTAGCTGGGACTACAGGCACACACCATTATGCCTTGCTAATTTTTTAATTTTTTGTAGAGATGAGGTCTCACTACATTGCCCAGGATGGTCTCAAACTCCTGGACTAAGTGATTCTCCCACTTCAGCCTCCCAAAATGCTGGGATTACAAGCATGAGCCACTACTCCTGGCCAATTTTTTAAAAAGAGACAGGGTGTAGCTGGACGAAGTGGCTCATGCCTATAATCCTACCACTTTGGGAGATGGAGGCAAGAGGATTACTTGAGTCCAGGGGTTTGAGACCAGCTTGGGCAACTTGGCAAGACCTCATCTCTACAATAAGGTAAAAAAAAATTAGTCAGGTGTGGTGGCACCAACCTGTGATTTCAGCTACTTGAAAGGCTGAGGTGGAAGGATTACCTGAGCCCAGCAGGTTGAAGCTGTGGTGGCCATGAGTGGGCCATTGCACTCCAGCCTGAGCAACAGAGTGAGATTCCAACTAAAATAAAATAAAATAAAATAAGAAAAAAGAGAGAGACAGGGTGTTGCTGTGTCACGTAGGCTGAAGCCTTGAACTCCTGGGCTCAAGTGATCCTCCCGCCTCAGTCTCCTGAGCAGCTGAGACTACAGGTGTGCACCACCACACCTGGTTATTTTTTCTGGAGAGATGAGGTTTCACTATTTTGCCCAGGCTGGACTCAAACTCTTGACCTCTGGTGATCCTCCTCCCAAAGTGTTGGGATTTGTAATCTTTATTTTTAATTTTGATATTCCAATTGTCAACATAAAAAAGCCATCAGAGAAAAGTATGTACTAATATAATGAATTTATTCTGGAGTAAGCAAAACGGGTTATAATCCAGGATGCATGGTGATGGCAAGGCACAAATGCACCTGAAGTGGGGAGGGTAAAGGAAAGCTTTTGTTGACAAAGGGAGAAGCTCGCATAAGCTGCTTGGAAACTGAATTAATCAGTTTTGGAGGCTCAAAGTCAGAGTTGGCATCACTTCATTGGTGGAGATGCCATTACTGGTTAAGTATTCTTTCCAGAGCATCTTATCCAGTTTCTGCAGACCTCAAAAAGGACGAAAGTGATTTCATCTGGGTATCTGCAACTTTCATGCAAGCATCTGGAGCTAGTTTTTGTTAAGTGTGAAATTAGTGCTCTAACTTAACTTTTTTCCAAGTGGTCAACCAGCTGTCTAGACCATCATTTCCCAACTGGGGATATATTAAGGGGGGAAAGCAAATGAGAAAATCTCATATATGTAGGGTCTTATATTTGTTCAAAAAAAAGAGACTACGAAAGAAATAAATAGGCACTCCCAAGGTAGTGTCTAAACTGTCACTGAATGAATGAAAAATTCAGAGCCTGCTTACAAGAAATTCTGGCCTTTAGGTCCTGATATCTATACGGAAAACAGAAAACCAGTGGTTGAGATGGGGTTGAGAGATGGGGCCAGGAATTATTTCGAGACCGCAAAAATAAGTCTTTTAAAGACCACGTATTGCATGATATCATTTACATGAAATGTCCAGGTGGGCAAGCTTCTAGAGATAGGAGTGGGATCAGTGGCCGCCAGGCTGGCGAGAGGAACGGGGTGGCGGCTAATGGGGACAGGGATCCTCTTCCGGGGCAATTACAATGTCCCCGGATCGCCTGTGGCGGTGTCGGCGCAGCGCTGAGAATCCACCAGACCATCGCGCTGCGCAGGTGACACGGGTGATCCAGAAGGTCTGCAGCTCTATGAAACTGTTTTGGAGGCGTGTTCGTTCCTGCGGCGGTCGCGACTGACGACGTGAGTGGCAGGCGCACGCACGCGGGACGGACTATCCCTAGGTTGTCACCGTCTGGGTCTAGCGCGGACTGCACCTTCGGTGTGGGCGTGGCCAGGAACGGGGTGTGGCCGAGCCATGGGGCGTAACTGGGGCGGGGCCTAGATGTGGGTGCGGTCGATAAGTGGGCGGGGCCTA